GCTTTCTTGATATATTATTTTCCCCCTTCAATTATTTTCCTGAACTTTGATGCATTTTATTGCTTTTATATGGAATCAGTTAATGGACTAATAGGGCAAAATGTTGACCTATGTCACAATACTGTAATACATGTTGCTGTAATTTGTTCTTTACAGTAGTACATGGAATTGTTGCAAGATGTACAGTATAGAACTTAATTTTCTTAAAAATATTATTACAGTGAAGTAAACTGTGAAGTTGTTATTTAAAATAATTCAGCCAATGCTCCACAATACTGTAATACATGTTGCTGTAATTTGTTCTTTACAGTAGTACATGGAATTGTTGCAAGATGTACAGTATAGAACTTAATTTTCTTAAAAATATTATTACAGTGAAGTAAACTGTGAAGTTGTTATTTAAAATAATTCAGCCAATGCTCAGGTAGCTTTTGCAACAGGTTATAGTCTTTCATCTACACTTTCATCTAAGTCATAGGTGGGGAACATATGGTTCACCACATGTGTGATTCTAAAACCTGTCAGGCACAGGCTGTAACAATAGCCAGAGGAAATCAGAACTGTACTTAAATGTATCTGGATAAGTGTACGTATTTTTTTTTTCCTGATATAAATGAATCAGCTTCTTCAGTCCTGTCTGTAAATTGACTCAGGAATAAGCATTCCAGACTAAAGTGCTTACAAGTAATTTATAGATGTGATTTGCACATTTGTCAAAAATAGAAACAGAAGAAGGTATAACAGGATTAAGGAATCTGTGATGCTCCAGATATTATGGAATTATAACCACCAGCAACTTTGGTCTGCATAGCTAATAGTGAGAGATAATTATAACAATAATTCAGCAATATCTGAAGATTGAAAATCCCTGTCCCAGCATTATAGGGAGAGTTTCTTCTCTTCCATAATGCAATGTGCCTAGGTCATTTTTCTTAGAGACATGGATATCTGTTCCACCTTGCTCCATAATAAAAATGAAGATACTGTCATACCAGATTCATAATGTATTCTACAAGGTCTGGCTTTGAAGACCACCAAGAAGCTGCAATTAATGCTAGGCTGCTGTGGTCCTTGCAGTGGTTGTCCATAGATCTCCAGTTGCAATTCAGAGTGCTTGTTTTCACCCATAAAGTCCAAAGTATGATTTGGCTTCTAGCTCCTTTTAAGATTGCCTTCTTTGTGTGAAACTGGTGTATGCATTTCAACAAGATCTGTCAGTGGTCTTCCATTACCAAGAGGTTAGAAGAGCAGGGGCTCACAGATAATGTAGTTCTACATTAGGGAACATCTCACTGAGATCAGATCAGTACCCATACTAAGGACCTTCCAGAAAATAGTAAAAATTGAGCTCTTTTAGAAAGCATTTGAGGAATGATGAACATTAGCCACCTGTACTATTGTAATGTATTATTATTGTATTGTTATCTTTTAATATTTATTATACTGACTCGAAGGCATAAATCAATCAGTCAATAAGCCATTAACCAAGAATTGGTAATAGAATATAGCTTCTAATACTTCCTGCTTTTTCTCAAGGTTGGAAAGTAATGGCTAAAGTAGGTCACATCTGAAGTGTCTGCTATAAGGTTAGCATCTGTATTTTGCTTGTCTCATTGTTAAAAGAAGTGTAATTAAGTCTTTAATGCCAACATGTACTGAATAAACCAGACAGTTATTGCTGTTAGCTGAACAAATTCTGGTTTGCAGTTGGTACAAATATGCTGTTTTAATGTGCTTTAAAAGGCTGTTTCTTATATTATGAAAAATTGTTAATTGCCACAAAAAAAATTCTCATGAAGTGTGTGTATGTATATTAGGGTTGGGCAGTGATCAAGTTTCAAATGAGCCAAGTAGTTTGGGGAATACTGTATGTAGACCATAGTGGTAGTAGATTTATTATTATGGTCAGTAACTGCAAATAAATATTACATTGAAAGAATAAATATAAATTTGAATAAAATGATATAGACCATTGTAAAATAAATAGGAGTTTTAAAAATCTAAAAAAACTTAGCAATCTAAAATATCCAGAGCTAATTTATTAAGTTACTAAAACTCTTAAACAAATTATTCAATACAAGAAACAGAAGGAATAAAATATTTAAATTTTAATTCAGTTGGGACTAAAATGTTAAGCTACTTGACAACTTTATTAACATAAATTAAGGAATATACATTTGTTAGCTATCCTTGATTGTTACATAACATTATAAAATCATATGATGAATTCTAAAATACCCTGATAGACCAGAAAATTATAAAACAGGGAAAACTAGACTATCTTGTGACAAATAGCCACTTTCCTGGAGGTCACATCTGAAGTGTCTGCTATAAGGTTAGCATCTGTATTTTGCTTGTCTCATTGTTAAAAGAAGTGTAATTGAGTCTTTAATGCCAATTTGAATAAAAGGAGCAACATAGGGATATGTGTTATTCATTCAATTTCTTCTGTGTGCATAGATGTTCTTGTATTTGGGTTTGGCCATTTAATATCCCTTCTGGAAAAGCTGAAGATGAGACATTGAGTCTAGCTAATGTAAAAACTCATCTGTTTTGGGCACAAAATGTTGGTAAGGTATTTGACCTCTAAGAATGGTCAAATAAGTTTCAGACTTTTGAAGTAAAGCTTAGAGAGCCAGTTTGGTCTAGTGGTCAAGGGACCAGCCTAGAAACAGGAGACTGTGAGTTCTAGTCCTGCCTTAAGCATGAGAGCCGGTTGGGTGACTTTGGGCCTCACCTCGCAGGGCTGTTGTGGGGAAAAATAGGAGGAGGAAGGAGTATTAAGGTATGTTCGCCACCTTGAGTTATTTATAAAAAAATAATAAAGGCAGGATAAAAAATAATTTAAAAAATAATTTAAATGTAGATCTTTTTGTAAATCTAGGTCAAGAAACTTATATTTTATTTCCAACAGAATTTTCCCATAGCCAATTAAGAAAGGCCAAGATTTGTTTGTTGCCCAGTGAAGGTGGTGGTATTCCTTTCTTGATAGTTTACCTAATATAGAGAAGTGGAATGAAATTGGGACAAGTTTACATCCCTGTTTCACTCCTTTCTGAATGGTTATTGCTGGGGAGAGGATAGGTGGTCTGAAGAGCTGCATGGGACTAATGTGATGTTATTCTTGTGGAGCTTCATAATTAGCATGGGAAGATGGGATAGGGACTGTTGGTTTCTCCCATATTCTGCTTCTTGGGATTGAATCAAACGCTGCCTTCAGATCTGTAAGGGTCATATAGAGTTTACCATGTGGATATGCAGTGTACTTTTCAATTAAATGTTAAAGGACTAGATGGTGGCCTAGCATTGAATAGTCTTTGTCCTTCCTCTGTGTGGGCACTCATGTTGCATCTATCAGCAGTTCCTTAAAGAAACTGTTTTTCTGACTTGATGTTAGCCTTACCAGTTACACCAGACAGAAAACACGTCCAGATAAGCTAATTCTCTTTATTGTAAGGCTACGTTAACAGAATCATGCAAGTCTGAAAGTACCATTCTCCCGCTGTCAGTTTTACAGCCCGATAACTTAGGGAAGGTGTTCTCCTGAGTCTCTTGCTCCGCCCACTGTGCAGCTGTTGGCTATGCTCCCTCTTATCTGATCATTCTCTAGGCAACATCTCTTCATCTGGTCTCCAAAGGTCATTCCCACATACCGTCACACTTGCACAGCTACTGTTACACAAATTTGGATGAAGATGCATCTGATTTAAAGAGGTGCTGACAGGTATGACATATGTGTTCCAAATCACCTTTCCCTTTAGAATCCAGATCTCAGTACAGTCCATATATCTATGTGCGTATGCATACATTAAATAGTCACTGATAAACTTTGCATCAGATGATTAAATGTTATTAAAATATACGTGCTTGGTATTTTGCTAATTCTTGCATTGATTAAAAAACCCCTCTATAAATCTATTTTTGTTTCATAATGCTTTATAATAAATTATATTTCTTTATATAAACTCACAGGAGTCTCCAAATAATGATTATGCATACAGGAAGTGGAGTATAGCATTGCACCTACGGTAAGAAGAATGTTTGATTTCTGTTTATTTAATTTATATTTCATCATTCAATTCAACTAGGAGAATTAAGGAAAGAGAAAATAAAAAAATACTGCAAACAAGAAAAATTAAACACATGAAATCAGTGTATACATAAATAAAATTTATGCATTTATTTAAGAACGTAAAGCTTGCCCTTCTAGTGTAGATGTATCATTTAGGGTAGACATAGTTTTAATGATTAAATCTAATATAAAATTAGAATTATTTCAAAGAAAAATGAAAAGAAATAATTATTTTTAAAAAGTATTATATAGTAAAATCAGGCAGGTACATCAGTTAAAATTTATATTCCCTGTGTAGTGAATGCCAGAATAAGATCTGTGAAGGTCACCTATGAAGGACACCAACTTGTAAAAGCCACCATTCTGGCCAGCTATGGCTTCAGTTTAGATGGAAAAATCTGTTTTCCTATTTGCCTGTGATTATGATTATGATTATGCATGTTATTTAGATCTTTTCTTATAAAAATAGTTGTTCTCAAAAACTTTATCTTAGAAGGGTATGTTCTTTAAGGGAAATTTGTAGAAGTTACGTTGGCTCTGAAATTAATAGGTAATTCTCAAGGAAATGTAAACTTTTATAATTGACAGATAGTTGTTCAAAGTGAACTTTTAAAAAATGCCTTAAATAAAACTTAGAAATTGTTATCTATGCTGTCAAGTCCATTTTTTAAAATATAGCCATAATTCAAATTAGAGGCAAACATGGTTTTTTCCTTACCTGTTGTGTTAGTATAATTTGCTGGGTGAATGAGAAACTAGGAATTTAGAGCAATACTTTTCTCTGCATGTGCAGGAAATGTTGATGCCATGAACCTACATGGAATAGACCTTGAAAGGAGCACTCATTTTACTGTGCAAAGCAGAGGTGGATTAGAGCAAATAACATGACATCAGCTGCTATTCTCTTATCCAGTTTGTTCATTATTTGTACTGTAATTTTTAAAAAGAAAAACATCTCTCTTTAACAGGAAATACTGGTATTTCAGAATCATGGCAACTATTGAGGAATTGGCCCATCAAATTATGGAACAACAAATGGGGGAGGTACTTACATTTTTTTCCAAAGTTTTATAATAAAAAGGAATATATAGAAACTTTCTAGTAGCTCATTGTCCGTCACTTTGGAATTTTTGTTCTGGACATCTTGAATGAAAAGCAAATATGAGCTTACTTCTAATAGAGAATACGGCTTCCACTGTATTGGTTTTTTATTCTAGATAACACACTCCCAAGGATCTGTTACACAAACATTAATGGATGGAACAGCACAAAGAATCCAGATTGTTCCTGCTGATGCAGGACTTTCCTTACCACAGCGGATACAGGTAAAAAAACTTTCTGTCTCTTTCAGTACTAACTTAAGTACTTTAAAAGTATTTCAGTATCTAAATATCAGATGTACAATAATACGGTGTCTTAAAACCCTAGAAAAATGTGCAGGAAAAATAATGAAATAAAATGAAATATCTGGAATACAACATAAAATGCATTATTTTAGCATATAATATGATCATACTTATTATACTTTGAAGGAATATTATAAAAACAAAGCTGCCAATATTCTCAGTATTAGACAGGGTGAGTGACAAACTGTTGCACTCTATTCTGCATATTTGTCTATTTCATAATTCTTCAAGCAAAGGGCCAAATCTGAAGAAAACAGTCAGAATATTGGTTCCTTACATTTCCAGATAAAAGTGTTTTCCAGAAAACACAAGCAGCAGGGAAAGCTCCCATGTGCTATTATGGAGAAGATAGCATCTTCTGAATCCAGAAATAGATGATGGATTTGAGAGAGGGAGGGTACTTACATAGTATAAAAGGAATTATTTCTGTCTGATGCATTAGATTAGCCTTTCCCATCTAATGCTGTCCAGATGTGTTTGATAATAGTTCCCATAAATTTTATCCAACACGTTGACTGAGAGATATGGATAGCTGTTCAGTATTCTTGCTATTGCACATTTTCAGGAATAAATCCTTATCTTGAAAAGAATTTAATCTATTCCAATATATGCACATATTTTATAGGGTTTTGATTTCCATTATTTCTTTAATAAAAATTGTAAAAATATTCTCAGGCCAACAAGTATACACTTTTAAAGTTGCTGAAGAACAGATAGCTAGTCTGAGCTATCAGTTCTTCAGCAACTTTAATTCACTGAGTAATTTTCCACAGCCAAGTATAGCAACATAGCTGCTTGTAAATGCAGCACTTTGAACACTTAAAAGTTCAATATTTGTGAAAGTGCATGCACTGTTCCTTCTGTATCAGAGCAGGATATGCAGTGTTTAATGCTCTTGCATATTCAATGTGGCCTCACTAAATTGGCCCCTTGCTGTTGAGAAAAGATATGCTGTTACTGGCTAGGAATTCTGGGAGTTATCTGGGCACAAAGTTTAAGGCTGAATTATTGTTGGCATCAGTGTTAATTCATGAAATACTGTACGTGCTCACCTTCTGAAAACAGATCCAATTTGTTCAGTCATGCTTGATAATATCACAGATATGCTAGATCACATCTTTTTAAAGCTTTTTATAATAACTTGAAGTAAACATGTCACCAGATTGTTACAGATCAGCAGACAGGACAGAAGATTCAGATTGTGACAGCACTCGATCAGACTGCAACAAGCAAGCAGTTCATTTTAACAAATCATGATGGTTCTGCCCCAAGTAAAGTGATCCTTGCGAGACAAGATGCTACACCAGGAAAGGTTTTTCTGACAACTCCTGATGCTGCAGGAGTTAACCAACTGTTTTTTACATCCCCAGATATATCTGCACAGCACATTCAGGTATAGTGTCCTATTTTATGATGATTTATTCATATGACTTTAAAAAATGAAGACCTTCTTTTTAAAACAGTAGTCATGCTAGACATTTTCATGCTATGAAAATACTGCAACTTGAGATTTGGGAACATGCAGGCGGTAAGTTCTTTGATATAAATAAGATAATGTGTTTCAGCCTTCAGTACTGTTGTTTTAGAGATCCCACTTTTGCTGAACAATGTAGTCCAGTGAATAGCTTTCTTGTTTACTATTGTCTTGAAATTAGAAAAAGTATAGTGGAATAATGCTATATTTATAACAGTACTGGACATTTTGCATCCTAAATTGTTTTGTAACAATCTTAATTTTTAAAGTAAATACAAATTAATTTTGAATAGATTCAGTTTGAAGCACCATAAATAGAAAAAGGGTGAAAAATCAAATTAAAGAAGTCAAAGTTATAAGCCTTTAATCATAACTGCTATTTTTACTTTTTTCTGTTCAGTTTACCAAGTACTGGATTAGAATAATAGTTTCTGAAGTATTACCAAATGCATACCCCTTTGAAATACACTTCCCCACCTTCATTTTTCATAATTAGTTTGCAGATATGAATTTAAGCAAAGAAGTTAGTGAAAACAAGATGTATTAAATTGTAATTTTTTTTTCCAGATTTTGACGGACAATTCTTCAACAGAGCAAACCTTAAATAAAGTATTTGATCTCTGTGTTGTTTGTGGAGACAAGGCATCGGGTAAATCACTATGTATTTTGCAAAATTAATTGGAAGATTTTTTTTAACCTATCTCATCTTACCAAGCACTTAACTTCATTTTTCTTTTTCTTTTGTGAGTAATAAACTTAAAAATTGCATAAATATGATTGCAAGTGCATTAAAGCCAAGAGCTGTTAAAAAAAACTATTTGTAATGTATCAGAAAAGAAATATCAAATTCTTTAAAAGCCTGGTATAATAATTCTGCTTATAATGCGACATTTCGAATAGACACTTATGTGTAATAAATAGCACAGTTCTATGAGCATGTTAATTTCTATTTCCATAGAGTTGATATGAGTATCTCTCCAGGTAATTGATTTAACACACTAGGGAATTTTTGTTGGAATTGATGGCTTACTTGTCTTTAGATTGTTCAACCATTTGGCTATCACAGATACTGTGCTTGACACAGCTAACATAGATGACATATATCAGTAAAGCCCAAAATATATATACAGAATCATAAGTGCTAGAGACTCAGCTTCTGTATATAAATGCAGTACCTGAAGTCTATATTGCTAGGTGACTTCTATTAGTGTATGTGTGTATATCTGTATTGTATATGTATAAGCATTATGGTGTAATGTGTTGGTGAGCACATGTGCTAAGTGGGATAGAGGAAACTGGTATAATCTTTTCAGCTTTGCTGCTCCAGAATGATATAATTAAATAGCAAGATAAATAAAATTGTCTATTTTACAACTGATCATTCTTCCAAATCCTCCACTTGGCACTGCTTATGTAAATCAGCTGTACTGAAAGGTAGCTAAATAAAAGCTTGGAGATTAAAGTCCTTTATAGTTGGCCACTGCTCCTTTGTAAGAAGGTTAATTAAGGAAAGAAATTAAATTGAAGATGCCGTTACATTTAACAATATTTTGGAGGGAATTGTACCTTTTTTTCTCATTCCATAAAGTAGGTGTAATATTTGATGATAAAGCAAACATATTTAATTGAGTTTTAGGTGAATTCATGCAACATTAACATATTTTATATTTAACACACTATTTGTTGATAGATTGTCATAGAATTTGGTAGAAATGTTATTTCTATATTCTGTAAACATGCATTATGGTGAATTCATCCTTGAGGGAGGGAGTGTTCCCAGCTGCCTTTAAAGAGGCGCTGATGCATCCCCTCCTCAAGAAACCATTCGGACCCTACTGAATTGGACAATTTTCATCCAGTCTCCACCTCTCCTTTTTAGGGAAGGTGGTTGAGAAGGTGGTGTTGTTGCAGCTCCAGAGGATCCTGGATGAAACAGATTATTCTGGCCCAGATATGGGACAGAAACAGCATTGGTCGTACTCATGGATGATCTCTGGCGGGAGCGGGATGGGGGTAGTGCATCCATCCTTGCTCTTCTT